TGGGTGTGGGTGGGTGATTGTGGGCGTGAAACGAATTCGAAGAACGGATGAAAGATGTTTTATCATATTCTTCCTTATCGGAAGTAACTCTCGTTTAGTACAATTTTATTTATTATTTTACATTATTTTATCCGAAATAAGATGTTTGACTAACTTAAACTCAGTTAGAATATCACATTTACATGAATTTTCATTAAGATGCGTTTATTTCACCCACTTATTCAGTATCACTATTTCCATATATTATGGGAACTAAATTTAAATTCTAAGAACAAATTTATTCGATTTTCAGTCAAAACGCATTAAATGAAATGCTAATGGGCAGTTTTAGTATGTTTTTTTAAAGCTTAAGAGTAAGGGAAATATTTAATGTATTTCTCTTTTTTTTTAATTTTTGGAGCGTTAACACGTGCATTTCTATTTCTTTTCTGCATTTTTGGAGTGTTAACACGTCTTTTATTGCATAGATTTAATCATTTTAGTAGGTTATCGTTTATTCTTGAAATGTCAAGTCGTATTTGTATTATTGTAAGAATTTTTTAATTACCCTTTTCATATTTGATTTATATTTGGTTAAATTTCAAAATTTACCATTTCTAATTTTTTTGTTACAATTATTTAAAAAATATTCGTGTTTCACAAAAGAATTTTAGTACTTTACACAACTTCTTCCTATTAGTATTATATCAAGTATACTGAATTAAGACAATTTTTTTGGTAATTGCAAACAAATTTCGGTTTTGAAAATTATTATGCCAAATGTGAAAATGACTATAATAACATATATTTTAAGAGAATGGATATCAAATTACGTCTGTGGATTAAGAAATATGAAATAAAAAAGAATGGTTTAAACAAAAAACTTTCTGTAGAGGCAGTCAAATAAGTGTATTGTATTGGTAGACTCGTTTCTGGCACATCTATTGGACATACGGCGACATTGCGTGTCACATGGACTTGATTTGGAAAATGTGACACGGCAGCTCGAAATAAACTGTTTTCTTTTTTGTATTATTGATTTGTTTACTGAGATTCCTTGAGCACAACACTTTCTTTCAAAAAATGTTTGAAAAACTTATTTTAGCCAAAAAGCACCTATTTAAACCTCAAATGATATTTTAATTAATAAAGTATTTTAATCAAAACATGAATTTTAAATAAAAATCTTATTTTGTGCCAATAAAATTGAATTATACCAAAATAATGTTCTCTTTGTTTTTATTAAAAATAGTGAACGGTTGTTAAACCCTTGGCAAATTAATAGTACGTAATGACAATTTACTTTGTACGGCAACTCTAGAAAAAGAAACTCTTCGAAATCTATCGTTAAACATGAGGAAAATGAAATCCATACATAGAATGCACACCACTTGTACTCACCCACGAATGTCACTTCAGAAGTGATGAGATAACTGCCCCAACCTACGAACCGGCATATTGGTAATTCAGGAAACTTTAGCTCCTACGCAACGCAGTGTCTGGCCAAGGGGTCCAAATTGCTCCAAGCATGTGCTAGTGGCCGCAAAAAGGGGCAACGTCTTTCCTACTTCCGAGGATGCAAGATAGTTACCTGGAAATACGCTGCACGGCAGTGAGTGAAGCTCCCCCGCCAGCAACCGAGCTTACGACTGCTTATCCGCGACACTCGGAAGGCCTTGCCAAGCGTTTTGAGCCAAACGGAAGCGAAAATACGGTCGAAAGTTGCCGCTCGATACAACAGACGCGCGTGCTAGTTGGGAATCGGTTTTTTCTCTGAGTATCTCGCGTGACGATTTCCACCACTAAGCGTGCTGACATGTTGTGTTTCCTCGACCAGTATTCATAAATGTTACTTTAACACAACACTTACTGTTACAATACTTATAAAAAAACATACATTATGGCAAATACCTGATAATTGGGGTGGCGAAAACCATGCTAACCACTGATGTAAACCGTGTACAGTTTGCACGTCTCCTCATTGTACGTCACACAATTTTTTGACGGGAAATAAATAAAAAATTGTGACGCTATTTACCTAACACGCGAAAGAAATCCAGATGTACTGAATGTAGAGAAGGAAATAAA